CAAACCTGTTCCTGAGATGATTCTGAAATTCAGGTGGTATGAAATCAAAGTCATATTTTGGCTCCTGTGGATTTGGTTTAATTTTCCTCAGCTTATATATATATATAAATTTCCTCAGCATATATATATATAAATTTAACATGTCTGTCTGTGGATAAAAACATGATTTCTGAGATTCACTTTAACTACTCCAAGGGAAAAAAAGGGGGGGAATTAGATAAACTAAAAGAAAATCTTGAAAACTGATTAATAAGGTCACTATTACAGTCTTAGTACTTTTGTGTATATTTAATAGTTTCCACACACTCCCTCACAGGTTTTTAAGAATTCTAATGCCAACTAGGGAGCTTTGGTGACCTAATGGCAAGAAACTGCACAGCAGTCCTGAAGACACACAGTTTGATGCAACCAGCTCTGTAGGAGAAGGATGGGAAATCTCTTCCCACGTGCTTAATTGCCTCTAAAAACCCTCTGGAGGGTCAGTTCCAATTCTATGGTACACAACAACAACATCAACTATTGTAGCAGTAAAAGACAGAGGGTAAATGATAGAGGCCTAGTTTCAGGATCAAGGATATATTTACTCCTAACTTTGAGAAATGAATCCCAATGTGATACTCTACAATGAGATTTCTAGAAGGAAGGGACTGCTTAGTGTCTGCTGAACTTATCTCCATTGTAAGCCTAGAAGACCCTGTCAAAGTAAGATATTTTCTTACTTGTTCATTCACTCACTGCCGTCAAGTCAGAATAGACTCATTGCTGATTCTTCAAAGAGTTTCTTGGGCTGTAAATCACAAGAGAGGATATGGCTCACCTTTCTCCTGTGGAACTGCTGATGGATACTTTAAACCCCCAGAGAGTTCCAATGTTTGGTTCAACAGAGCAACTCTCTCTGGATCAGAGCTCCCTGTATTTTCTAAGGACATCTAGAAAAGATGGTATCTCAAGAGATTCTGTAACACTATAAAAAAGGAATCACAATGGTTGATATTAAAAAGCACAGTAGATTTAGAACCCATATACTGCCATCTGACATTCTCAGGGTCAATAAATAGTGTTGATATTTGTTTTCTTAGATTGCCAACCATAAGGAACAAGTACTATTCATTCAAATGATTCATCAGTTGATGAATTTCTGCAGCAGCCAAGGCTCTGAAAAAGGCCACTTAGAAATCACAATAAACTCACATTTCTGGGAGGATTATACCAGAACACTGCCAAACACTGAACTTGAAAAAAAGTTAAAGATGTCTTAAACCACAAAAATGGCTCTTGAAAAAATAGCTCTTAATCCTTGAAGGAATTTGAAGTTGGTTCAGAGTGACCTGTATTACACTGATCTAAGACAAGTTAAAGAACAAGGAGTCAACAGTACAACTGGAGCCCTTGTCATCTGCAGGTTACCTTATCAAATCTCAGTCACATTATCCTGGGAGACTAATATGTCTCACAAGAAATACAAGACAGCTAAGAGCAATAACAATACACCTGCAGAGGAACCAGCACACTGCCTGATAAAGAATAATATGAAACCTGCAAGCATAAGAACCTCACAGCATT